ATTAAAAATATTCACATTTTTCCTTAATTTCTGAAAAAAAAATTAAATACAAATAGGAAAATTTCATAGAACATCTTCCAAAATGCTTAATTTAAGTAAAATATTCACATTTTTCCCTAATTTCTGAAAAAGCCAAAGTGAATACAATTAGGAAATAACAGGAAAATTTCATAGAACATCTTCCAGATGTTTAATTTCATTAAAAATATTCACATTTTTCCCTAATTTCTGATAAAACCAAAGTGAATTCAAATAGGAAATAGCAGGAAAATTTAATATATTTGTGTGAAATTTTTATTTTTGCTTTATTTCTGCTCAAGCAGAACAAGAAATTCACTCTGCCCTTGGAAATTCCTGTGCTGAATAAAACCTTTAATTAGGAATTAACAGGAAAATTTCATAGAACATCTTCCAAATGTTTAATTTAATTAAAAATATTCAAATATTTCCCTAATTTCTGAAAAAACCAAAGTGAATTAAAATAGGAAAATTTCATAGAACATCTTCCAAAATATTTAATTTCATTAAAATCTTCTAATTTCTTCCTAATTTCTGAAAAAAACCAAAGTGAATACAAATAGGAAAATTTCATAGAACATCTTCCAGATGTTTGATTTAATTAAAAATATTCAAATATTTCCCTAATTTCTGAAAAAACCAAAGTGAATAGAATTAGGAAAATTTCATAGAACAACTTCCAGATGTTTAATTTAATTAAAAATATTCACATTTCTCCCTAATTTCTGAAAAAACCAAAGTCAATAAAAATAGGAAAATTTCATATGACATCTTCCAAAATGTTTGATTTCATTAAAATTTTCACAATTCTTCCTAATTTCTGTAAAACCAACATGAATAGAATTAGTAAAATTTCATATAACATCTTCCAGATATTTAATTTACTAAAAATTTTCACATTTCTTCCAAATTTCTAAGAAAACCAAATTGAATACAAATAGGAAAATTTCATAGAGCATCTTCCAAATGCTTAATTTAAGTAAAATATTCACATTTTTCCCTAATTTCTAAAAAAAAATTAAATACAAATAGGAAAATTTCATATATCATCTTCCAAATGTTTAATTTACTAAAAATATTCACATTTCTCCCTAATTTCTGAAAAACCAAAGTGAATAGAATTAGGAAATAACAGGAAAATTTCATATATTTGTGTGTGAAGATTTCTTCAATTTCTGCTCAAGCAGAAAAAGAAATTCACCCTGTCCTTGGAAATTTCTAAATAAATTGCTAAATAAATTCTAAATAAAGNTTTTTTCATTCTGTTTTTTTCCTGGGCTCTTTCCTGGGCTTATTTTAATTTTTTTTCCAGGCTTTTTTTTCTGGGATGTTCTGGGGTTTCTTTCCTGGGATGTTCTGGTGGGACTTTGTGGGGTTTTTCCTGGGAATTTGGGGTTTTTTTGGAACATTCTGGGAGGAGTTTGTGTGGTTTTTTCTGGGACATTCTGGAGGGACTTTGTGGGCTTTTCCTGGGAATTTGGGATTTTTTTGGGACATTCTGGGGGGACTTTGTGGGCTTTTTCCTTGGCTTTTCCTGGGGTGTCCTGGGCTTTTTCTGGGACGTTTTGCAGGGACATTATGCCTTTTTCCTGGGACGTTCTGGGTTTTTTTTAAGGAAGTTCTGGGGGGACTCTATGGGCTTTTTCCTGGGACTTTGGGGTTTTTTTTGGGACATTCTGGGAGGAGTTTGTGTATTTTTTCTGAGATGTTCTGAGCTTTCTCTGGGACATTCTGGAGGGACTCTGTGGGCTTTTTCCTGGGCTTTTTCCTGGGACTTTGGGGTTTTTTTGGGACATTCTGGAGGGACTTTGTGGGCTTTTTCCTGGGATGTCCTGGGCTTTTCCTGGGACGTTCTGGGTTTTTTTCCTGGGACATTCTGGTTTTTTTTTCTGGGATTTTCTGGTGGGACTTTGGGGTTTTTTTGGGACATTCTGGGAGGAGTTTATGTGTGTTTTTTTCTGGGACATTCCGGAGTGACTTTGTGGGCTTTTCCTGGGACGTTCTGGGTTTTTTTTAAGGAAGTTCTGGAGGGACTCTGTGGGCTTTTTCCTGGCTCTTTGGGTTTTTTTGGGGGACATTCTGGTGGGAGTTTTTGTGTTTTTTTCTGGGACATTCTGGAGGGACTCTGTGGGCTTTTTCCTGGGCTTTTTCCTGGGCTTTTCCTGGGACGTTCTGGGTTTTTTTCTGGGACATTCTGGTGGGACTTTGTGGGCTTTTTCCTGGGCTTTTTCCTGGGTCTTTGGGTTTTTTTTTGGGACATTCTGGGAGGAGTTTGTGTATTTTTTTCTGGGACATTTTGAAGGGACTCTGTGGGCTTTTTCCTTGGCTTTTTCCTGGGCTTTTTCCTGGGAATTTGGGCTTTTTTTGGGACATTCTGGGGTGACTTTGTGGGCTTTTTCCTGGGCTTTTTCCTGGGCTTTTCCTGGGCTTTTTCTGGGACATTCTGGGTTTTTTTCTGGGACATTTTGGGGGGACTTTGTGGGCTTTTTCCTGGGCTTTTTCCTGGGTCTTTGGGGTTTTTTTGGGACATTCTGGGGTGACTTTGTGGGCTTTTTCCTGGGCTTTTCCTGGTGTGCCCTGTGCTTTCCCTGGCACGTTCTGCAGGGCTGTTCTGCCTTTTCCCTGGGCCTTTGGGTTTTTTTTTAAGGAAGTTCTGGGGGGACTTTGTGGGCTTTTTCCTGGGACTTTGGGGTTTTTTTGGGACATTCTGGGGGGACTTTGTGGGCTTTTTCCTGGCTCTTTGGGGTTTTTTTGGGACATTCTGGGGGG